CTACCCATGAACCTCCAAGTAGGCTCGAGGCTCCTTGGCCGGTGTGAACCAAGTCCATGGCCTCCTTTTAAGGCCTCAGCCTGGGTTTACTCCTTGGCCTGGGTTTACTCCTTTTAGGGTTTCGGGCTGGGTTCACCCCTTCTAGGGCTTTGGTTTGGGCTTACTCCTTTCACGGCTTCGGCCTGGGTTTACTCCTTTTAGGGTTTCGTTCGGTCTTTCAGGGCTTGGGCCTGGGTTCACTCCTTTCAGGGCTTTGGTTTGGGTTTACTCCTTTTAGGGCTTCGGCCTGGGTTCACTTTTTTCCGGGTGTCGGGGTCCGTTTACTCCTTTTAGGCAGCGTTTGTAGTTTTCATCTAGCAAAAAGGCAGCTAGAAGCTCCGTCGAGACAGCGCAAGCTTAACTTTTGGTCAGGGTTGATGGATTGGCGAACGGTGTGATGCAGGCATGCAATATGAGTCCTCGTGTCTCAAAAGTGTCAACCGTGACAAGGATCGGGGAAGGCCTGGTGGTGAAATGCAAAATTGTCGTTCGTCACTTTCGGATGTTTTTCCGGATCCTCGTGTCTCACAAGTGTCAACAGGCACAGGGATCGGGGACATCCTGCTCGCGAAATGCAGAACTGTCGTCACTTCGGTACCTTTCCTGGGTCCTCGTGTCTCAAAAATGTCAACAGGCACAGGGATCGCGGAGGGCGGGCTCGCGAAATGCAGAACTTTTTGTGGGTCCTCGTGTCTCAAAAGTGTCAACGTGCGCGTGCACCTTGAACACAAACGGCGCGTGCAGCCTGAACACAAACTGCGCGTGCAGCTTGGACTGCGCGCCCCCAACCAAATAGTATAGGTAATTATTTGGGAGTTTCAGAAAATTAGGGGTACCTTATTTTGGGGTCCTTAGAATAGGGATCCTATTAATTAGGGTACTATATTAGGGTCCCCTAATTTTCGGAAACCCCCATTTAGGCCCCTATATTAGGCTCGGTGCCACCGCCGAAGTATGTCCGAGAAGGCGCCGGATCAGAAAGCTAAAGCATTTCCCTGAATCTAGGACATTTCCGGGTAGCTACCGTTATAAGAGCCTTCTAGAAGGTCTATATACCGTATAGAAGCCTTATAGAAGCCCTATATACCCTAAACTCCCCACCTGTAGTTTCCTTTCCCTGAACCGGACAAGCTTCTGGTCTCACGAAAAGTACCGAATTCCCTCATGAAGCTTCCCTTGCAAGGGCCCTACACCCTAAACCCTAAACTCTAAACCCCTAAACCCTAAACCCTTGCAGGGGGCCCTTCACCCTGAAGACACTCATTTTACGGGCCTTGGGCAAAGTCTGCACCGCACCTTTGGCCCCGCTGCCCGCATCATCATTAGCTCTGTGCGGTTTAGGGTTTAGAGTTTAGGGTTTAGAGTTCAGGGTTTAGGGTTTGGAGTTCAGGGTTTAGCGCTTAGGGTTTAGTTTAGGGTTTAGGGTTTAGCGGACGATACCATGCTTAAGCCCTACTAATCCGGAGTCCCCACTTGGGAACAGAAGCTCTGGTTCAGAAACCTCCAGCTCACTCGCGAACCCCCCTAAACCCTGAACTTTACACCCAAACCCTAAACCCTAAACCCGACACCCTAAACCCGACACCCTAAACCCTAAACCCCTAAACCCCTAAACTCCTAAACCCTAAACCCTAAACCCTAAACCCTGAACCCTGAACCCGACGCTCTCCCCACTCCCCCGGCCATTTCGCCGCTGGCATCGACGCGGCGGCTGCACTCGTGCATGACGCCCCAGACCCAGCCTCGGACGTTCACTCGCTGCCTTTTTTTTTGGGTTGAGGGTTTAGGGTTTAGGGTTCAGGGGCATAGGTTTAGGGTTTAGGGGGGAGGGG